TTGCAGAGGAAGAATCGGCAAATGTGACATTGTATAGTAGTAAGACAACTTTATGGAACTTTCATCTCGCCTGTATGTTTCGCTCTAATATTTTTGTCCCTCAGACCACTAACAAAGAATTGATAAATGTATTCTTTTAGTATGATTCTATGGCACAATTACTGGCAGTTAATAATATTGTGTATGCGTAATATTCATGATATTTTCTGCACCATTAATGTGCTTCACATTTCAAAAGAAGTGTAAACTATGATGACTGAATTTGTTGAATACTTAAGTCATGCATGTTAATCATGTAAATGCTTAATTTATGTCAGTGAATTTAACCTGTACCACTTTTAGGAATGTCGAGTCGTAATGAGGTCTGTCAGTTAGTTGAATTCAGTGGAAGCAGATGTAGTCGCATTCGGACAAAGACATCCGAAAAACGCTGACGAGTATTTTACGAATTATGACCAGATACATTTGCATAATCCATTGTAGGAATTGGTTCTACACACAACAGCAAGTGGAGGTAAGTTCGCTCCTTCACTTATAACCTTGCAGATATTCTTTTTTCCAGTTCGTCATACCGGATAACTTCAGATGTGGGCATACAGTTATGTTTAATTGAATTGCGAAGAATATGAAAGTGAGGCTATTCGGACACTGGGAAGTTTCCGTCGGATAATGGGAGATACTTCCCAAACGAAGACTTTCATCTTTGACTGCGTACATCCCGTACATGTTAATAAACTTGTTTGCGTTGCAGTGAAATAAAATTTTCTATCTAATATTCTTGTGTTCTACTTGATATACTTGCAGTAGGAGTACGGCATGCCAGACCGGTACTCTCTAGGATATGAACTCGTTACTATACGTAAGTGCAATTCTGTAGAAACACTATCGATCGATATAAGTGGTGAATTATAAGCACTTTAGTCAAACCTAAACATCTGCCTAATGTTACGTGATTACGTCTCTTAGTCATAGGTGAATCTGTAGGGACCAATGACAAAAATACCTAACTTGAGTATGTGAAAAATAAGAATAGAACTTAGGTACTGCAGTGGAGTTCGATTTCGTGTAAGGTTAAGTGTATTCAAAAGTAGTGCATTGCTATTATTTCACTTAAAGCGTGATGTCAATCCATATGATTACGGGTGTTAACGTATAGTGTAGGACGAAGTGTACACGAGACGAATAACTGAATAGGTTGAGCTGTGGCAATCGTAGTAAGATTTCGCTTACGTTGAATTATGCCTACAATTACTTTCTCAGGCCTCCATCTCGTCATGGTGACAAATTTAGTTTCACCAAGAATAAGAAATGTATAGTAAGCAGGATGTTAAATATATTTAATGAAAAATAATAGCAAGTAAATGCCTTTAAACAAATGTTTTTCGTAATTATTTCGGTGATGTCGAATTGCTGTGACCAGGTTGATTGACGTTTCCGGACATCTGCAAATAAGTGAAAAAAGTGTATCTTTTTAAATCACTGAAGTTAGAAAGAAGCAATGTAAAAGTTAAACGCTTTATATTTTCCTACCTTTGCTGAAAAAGGTTCATTCTCCTTTCTCATTCTTTGGTCATGACAGCATTCTTCTGTGGTTTTCACTGTCACACACATTGTTCATCTCCTAAAGTATAGCACCAAGCAAATAATAATTTAGTATGTCGTACAAACGGGTGTTTACAAGGAATGCATGCCATTTCTACAGGCTCAATAAGTTATGTTATAAAGTGCAATCGTGAAGTATCATAAATTAATACTTTTTCAAAAGTTTAAATTGTTCAATTATTGTGCAAGCAATTAGAGCAGGTTATCATAAATGTTAAACTGTAAACCTTTCACAATGAACATTATATTTGGGTAAGTGCCATACCCTCACGTAATTAAAATCTATTCCAGGAGGAGAACAACGTCCTGAGAAACTGCAAAATGGCATAAAATACAATTATCGATTATGCGTCATTGAAAGTTCACCTGCAAGATATATACAGCAAGTGGCTATAGAGTCCTTGGAATGGTAGCATACCTTTGCAACGTTTAATGCTAATCATATCGGTGTAAGCACGGGAACTATGACGTTTTCGATGTAAATACAGCTTTGTTTAAAGACTGGTGTTGTCGTGTTTCCAATCAAAGCAACCAGACTTTAAGCAAGCAACTAATAGGCACAAATAGTAAGTCTCAACTTTAATAAAGGCTTATCCATTTAAGATAAAATGGAGTGTAATAGTGCGTAAATAAAAAGACTATCGTGAAGTAGATAAGTGACACTTCAGTGACAAGTGTAGTGACCAGTTTTATTACTCATCATCACAGTATACTTTCATTGTGTAATTGTACTTTGATTTGTTTATTACTCTAAGTTTAGTTTCAATGTCCCACATTCTGCAATGCACCTGAAGTTTTTGCCCCAAAAATCTGCAGTGCGCCCGAAAATAATGCTAGCTGGGTCATTCATCGCATGATCTCCTCTATTAGTTATGGAATATTTCAATCATCACGGATGATAACAAAAGTGTTTAACATCCTCAAAACGTACATCTAACTTATGTCTGTGGGCTATTTCTCTTTTAAATGCCCGATTCCTAAAGAGTAACTGCTATGAAAAGAACCATTGTCTGTAGTCAATTTACAACTTTAGGATCTACAACAACTCGCAAATGACAAAGCTTTAAGGCTCTAAAACGCAAATAATAGTCTTTCCATGCGAAATTTCTTATAATCGATGATGTTTTTTAGTAATAAACCGTCTGGGATATCAAGACAACTTTACCCATTATTGCGAACACAATACAGAAAAATATTGCTTTTTTCGGCTACAGAAGCCTAAAACTAGTCAAATATAATCTATTTTTGCAAAATTGAACGATTATAACACCCTATAGGTGTGAACGCGATAACCCATTCAGTGCGCGATAATATATCACGATAACGTTTATCCTCACCCTTATCAGCTCCGCGAGAGTATGTGGAGAAGATACAAATAGAATTAACGACCTTATATCGATTCATCCATAGCTATGGGGATTTATAATTTTTCAAACTTTTTTAGTATAGCTTGATTCCACACATTATTTTTGGTACAACTATGAAATTTTCAGCATGTGGTATTGGTAGCCCAAATTTGGCAGGCCGACCATTGATATCAGATGTGCGTCGGCCGAGTATCGAACCCCAGTTTATGTTCATGGTTGGTGGGCGTCCTAACCGCTGGGTCACTGATGCCTATTCACCGCGCTAAATGCATCCATTACAATGTTTTGTGCTTCCATCACCTGTGTGTATAAATGAAGCACTAACTATAAAATAGCGGAAACCTAAGCCACGTACTCTAAGGCGCTCTGTTAAGTCCCTTTACCATGGTCATAGTAATGTTAATTTCATTCCACTTCATTTTATCTTTGCATCCGTCATCGCTACCATAGGAGCAAATTAAATTTTTATTTCCACCTATTCCCACCACAGCTTTTCAAGTGATATAAATGATTAACAAATGTCTCGAGGTGTGTATCAAACACTTAAAGAAATAATGTTATCCAGTGACTTAAAAATCACTGACGCAGATTGGCATCAATCACACGCAGTAGAGCTGATCATCGAAATTATAATATTATATAATGTTACTTTACACTAAAATAATAAAAGACAGTCAGACAGCAAATTAAAGTTATTTAAAGTCTGAAATGTTTGGAGCACTAAGTCATTAGGTGGTGAAGTTCCGCCCAGATACCATCAATTTCAATAATATGATTAGCAGCAATACGCAATGTATATGTTGAGGATGCTTCTCCACTGACAGTTTGCTGATCTGAGCTTCAGTGCCTGTTGGACTGAGGATTGCTAGTTCCTGCGAGCTTCCAAAAAGGTAGCCACCTATTGTGATGTCAGAGGAGCATGAAGTATAAAATTCAAGTTGTCTACAAACTTCACTGCTGCCAGTCGTTTCACGAAGCCACAGGAGGCTTCCGACTAGATTATCGCATTTGAATCCACTAAAAACCTGGAATAATTCTTCACTGTCACTGAGTAGTCTATAATAAATCAGCAAATCTGTACAATCTCGTCAGTGACAAAGGTGTTCTGCCATTAAATATGTATGGGCTTCCTCGTGGAAATCCCAGAAGGATAATTGACCAGAGGGCAAAACTCGAGTGCTCTCCCATTTCTTCTCACCGCGGATATGCCGTCCCTGGAACTCTTTACTGGCAGATGTAGTTACGAAACAGTCTGTGGAAAGCCTTAAACGAAGGCTGGACAATCATGCAGCGACACAAACGGCCTATCCCTTTAAAACCTCTTACACTATTAACTGGTATATATTTTTTTATATTTTTGATTATAGCTTGATTCCTGAGCGTATTTTTTTGGTACAGGTGTGGAATTTTCAACATGTGATATCGGTAGCCCAAATTTGGCAGGCCGACCATTGATATCAGGTGTGCGTCGGCAGGGGATCGAACCCCGGACCATGTTAATGGTCGGCGAGAGTCCTAACCACTGTGCCACCGACTCATCGTTTTACTTCTTTATGTTCTCGCCGGTCTTGCTCTCCTGACTACTCCAACTACTACACTTACACTTATTATTATTATTGATTTCATATATATATATATATCAACTCCAAATTCAGCTAGCTGTCTGTTTTTACTTTTTCCTTCTCTATTCTGTCTACTAGTCTGAATAGTCTACACTAGTTATATCTGTTATTTTTACTATCGCTTTACTTTTATCGATGGCAGCGGACTAACTAGTGAAAGGATCAACTCCATTCACAGTAGCAACACAGTTCTAACACCGCACACCACAAACAACCTATAATTAACCCCAGCACCACTCCTTTTTAAGTCAACCAAAGCTACTACAGTCGAATGGCAGAACGAACTCCACAGAAGTTTTTCGAAGACCAAGAAAATTTACCTCACAATCAAGAATCAAGCACAAAAATATCAAATTGGCTTACACTAGCTCGTAAAAACGATATTGGATATTGGACATACTGAGTATTTGACGTGTCTAATTTGGCTTCCCAAGGTTACTGCTAGCTTTTACCACGCGAGGCAACGTAATCACTTTCGAATCATCTATCAGTTATATATTTCGTGAGTTCTTTCGATGTTCGAAATGTATCTTTGATTTTTGCCTATAACACCATGTGCTATGCTCACACCCTAATCATTACTATAACGTTGACCGCTGGTTCTCGGCATTAAGCACAATTTTAGCATGAACTGGGTTTTTTTAAGCACACAAAGCACCATTTCTACATTATGCAACATCATCGACACGTTCGTAATTTTTCAGTCTTACTATAAGCCTGGGTATTAGAAATATTCTAAGATTAAGATTAATTCAGCCGCAATGAATAGTATTAATCCCTTTTAATAATTTTCTAGGAATTAGTACTTGTTTCATACGGAAAGTCCGTTGTTACCGAAAAGCTGTGAAGCCGTCTCGTTACATAATTTTAGATAACCAGTTAGCGTTGCAGACTGCATAGCCACACCAAATTACACCCTGTTCTAGGTTTGCCTAATGAATTCGAAGGTGATGGGGGTTTGATTACTTTGTGAATAACAGACTAGTTAGAGTAACTAAAGTATGCACATGTGGAGGAATCTTGGCATGGACGATTGGGATTTTGAGGCAGATTAGAGAATAGAGTCAAAAATATAAAAGAATCCCAGAACACAATGGCCTATATCTATCTTTTTTGAAAATCAGTGAAATTTATTGCTTATTTTTAATTCGCGAAATATACCCATTAAGACATTGAAATAAGAACAAATTAGTTCAGCGAAGAGTCTCTTTTCGGCGAATTCATTCACTTAGCTGTACAGTCGCAAATATATATACAATTATTTTGTGTGTGTGTAACTGTTATTTTGATTTTGACAAACCTAATGTACACACACACACACAAAATAATTGTATATATATTTGCGACTGTACAGCTAAGTGAATGAATTCGCCGAAAAGAGACTCTTCGCTGAACTAATTTGTTCTTATTTCAAATTTATTGCTCTTTCATTTTGATTTGTTGCTTAAGACAAGTGTTAGGATCAATCAGGATGTTGGCAACAGTTTAACTTCCCCCTAAAAATACTTATCCACTGTATTCCACGACTCTTTCTTGGAAAATTTCATAGGAGTTATGAGTAACTACTGCAAAGTCCATATTCTCCATCAAAGAGAACTTCGGTAGAGTAGATATGTAGAATAAATAATAATGAAAAAGTTATGAAATTTCTAAAGATTTGTAGTTAGTGTTAAGGCATCAGTGAAGACATTAGTCTATGACTTCGGTGCATTTCAAGGTTGGATGCTCGGTTGGCTTTCGTTTTATTTCTCATTGATTTTCGCTGTAGTTGCATTTGATTTGTGGTCATCAGTTACGGTTTTTATTCATCCGTCAGTATTGTGTACGTGTTTGAACCGTTGTGGAATTTTGACCCATTAATTTAAGTGCTCGACTTTCAACGAATGGGCCAAGACTTCGAGCCCCGCTTCACATGCCGAGGTTTGAAAAGGCAGATAATATTATTAGCCCCCACGCAATTAGTGTGGCTCTTTACCAACTGCATGGAATGGTAAGTGGTTCTTGAACAACATTTCCTTCATTGTTGGTTTAATCCATTTAATCTTTTATTAGGATATAATACCAATTAGGCAGGCAATGCTTATTTTATGAACGCTCCAGTCACGTTGTGTTTATTATTCGTTTCTAGTAAGGTTAAGCTGAAGGATACATAGGCTAAAGCAATTTTTTTGCAACGGAGTTCTTTCAGTGTTGTATTTTAAAAATCGACTGCTTTCACCAAAAGTGGAATTGCGTCACACCGTGAGCGAGTTAACAGAAGTTAACAGAATTCGCAAGCCGTTCTATTCCGACCCACTGGTCGAGTGATAACATGCTTGCCTCGTAAGCTGAAGATCCTAGGTGCGATCAGTGGTGCAGTGATGCGTGCATACTGCTGAAGTATCTGAAGCCAGGGTGAAGTAACCTTTCCCTGGTGCTCCTTGGTCTTTTAATGGTCCTGTAACTAATCTCCCTTTGAAGACAAAATTTACCTTGGTATTTCTATAAAGCTTCTAATTGTAAAGATGTTACAGTTAGTTTGGTTTTATTTCTTTCAGTTTCGACATTCATTCAGTATGAATACGGATGTCATATGTCTTTTTGATGTCGATGGAACACTGACAAAACCACGAAATAAAATAACAGAGGAAATGCTTCAATGTTTGCAAAAAATATCTACCAAAGTACCCCTCGCTCTAATTAGTGGTTCTGATTTTCCTAAAGTTTCTTGGCAAATTGGAGATTCTGGTAAGAACATATATAATTACTACGTCTAATCTTGAGATAAAGCTATAAATATGTTCACATATATCTTCTCCGAAAATGGTTTAGTAGTTCATAATTATGGATGTCAAACAAGTTGCACAGTATGTGTGTGTTGATATTCATTTGCATAACACTTTATTTCAGAATATCGCTGAATATGTCGGTGAAGATATCCTTCAGAACTTCATTAACTTCTGCTTGCACTATTTGTCAAACGTTCGACTTCCGAAGAAAAGAGGAAATTTTATTGAATTCAGGAGTGGTTTGATAAATGTTTGCCCCGTTGGTCGAAGCTGTACACAATCAGAACGAGAAGAATTTGCTGAGTATGATGCTGTAAGATTTTGTTTTGTTTACTGACGGTATGAAGAAAAATAAGACGACTACATTCTAGAGTGACCACCTTGATGTTCCTTGAATACCTCACCTAGGTTTTAAATTTGGGAACTTAGAATAGACTCTTGGACTACAGTATTTTACTTCGATCTATGCCTGTCTGATTAAAATGGTTAAAAGCTACTATTACGGCGTAATGTACTTCATCTTTGTTGTATTTTTAAACGAAGACTACTGTATCCTAAAGTGTTTGAATTTACAAAATCATATATATATGTATACTCCAAAGTGTATTCCTGAAGTTAGTATCAGTATCAGTCGGTGGCACAGCAGTTGGGACGCTCGCTGACCATGTACATAGTCCGAGGTTTGATCCCCGGCCGACGCACATCTGATATCAATGGTCGGCCTGCTAAATTTGGCCTATCGACATCACATGCTGAAAATTCCATAGTTTTACCAAAAATACTGTGTAGAATCAAGCTATAATAAATAATAAATAAATAAATTAAACTTTATTTGTGTTATTAGTTATTTTCTGTTCAAATGATACATTAACCAGGATGTTTACTGGATCTGTGATCTAATACTTTAGATAGGCAATAATCAACCAATAAGTTATTGTTCCAAAATAGTGGTTCTACCGGGGTCTACAGGGATAGATAAGCTCTTAGCTGATGTGATTAATTGTTTAATGCATAAAAGTATCTAAATGACTGTTGCATCGATTGAGATGGTTAGGACATGTGTTACATATGGCTAGTCATCGGCTTCCTCGACAACAGGCATTATTAGCTGACATAAGGTCAAGTTGGAAAAGAGCCACTGGTGGTCATACCGAAACATGACTTCATCAGTCAATGAAATCCACAACAATTAGTTTAAGCCACGTAGGAAGGCATAGACTTTTTGGTTGGGGTCTTTGGGATGGTTAAAACCAATGACGGCGGCTGGAGACAATCAGTGATATGGCTCAAAATTCTCCTTCTCAATGGCTAGTGCAGATGCATCCACTCCTTGTGACTTATAATACTCAATAAAAAAACTATATGGTTCTTCAATATTACTATTCTTTTTGCCTCATATCTCTGTTTACTGTCTATGTTTTGCATTTCTTTTTACTTTATCCTCTTGCTTTGTGTGCTAAGTGAGGTGTGGCGACTGGAAGTGCTGCACATCTGTGCTAAGTAGTTCTATGTTGAAACCAGTCAGTCAGTCAGTCATATGACTGCTAAGTTATAAAGTATACTCAGGATGTAAATACGTTCATAGTGGTTTATGGTGATCCTTATTTATTTTTTAAAAAGTTTTCTTTACCTTCCCAGTGGAACGTAGAGGTTCAAGCTAGAGATTTGAAGTTTCGGTAGCAGTAGTTTTTTATTTTGACGGGACGCGGGGGGTTTGCTAATCTCATGCCCAACCTTCTCTCTTTACCAGTCTTATTACTGGTTTAGAGAGGTAAAGGAGTGCATCAGCCGGGGATCGAACCCCGGCGTAGTTGACGAGCATTCTAGCGCTGCGCCACCGACGCACTATCTTCATTTAGTATATATATATATATATATATATGTAATATAGTTCCATAAGGAAATAATTCTAATATATTCTTCGTCCTCATATGCAAAAGTAAATAATTGCCTGACCATATCTAAATAAAACTTTGCACAGATTATGAGTTTAACTTTAACTGCAACCCAAAAAGTATACAAAAAGATAACAAAAATAGGACACCATTACAGGGAGAAGACATCCGAGTAGAAATTAATCAAATAAGGTAGGCGTGAATTCATCTGCACTTTTTTAAACGGTTTTAAACCGTCTCATCAAAAGTCATTCATCATTGACCGCTAATATTTAGTGTCTTCCCCACCCCACCCCACCACCGCTACCCTCCCTGTCAAGAAAAAACTGACTACCTTACCTAGCATATTTCAGAGATTATGTTGATGCTGTGTTGCTGTGTTCGATCATAGGTGTCTGCGTTCTATCTCCCGCGTGAAGTGGTATAATAAGGTGAGCAATATTGAGGTTAGGCGTCGAGTGTTAGGTAAGGTGGGGAAATCAGTCGACGAAACTGTGAAATTACATCGACTGAGATGGTTAGGACATGTGTTACTTATGCCTAGTCATCGCCTTCCTCGACAATGGGCAATGTTAGCTGAGATAGGGTCAGGCTGGAAAAGAGCTAGAGGCGGTCAAACGAAAACATGGCACCAGTCAATGAAATCCACAACAGTTAGTCTAAGCCACGTAGGAAGATGTAGACTTCCTGACTGGTTGGGGTCCTCGGGACGGTAAAAACCAATGGTTGGAAACAATTGGTGACATGGCTCAAAATCGTTCTCAATGGCTGGTACAGATGCATCCACTCCTTGTGACTTATGATTTCCAATTAAACTGTTTTGTTCTCTGTTATTACTATTCCTTTGTCTCACACCTCTGTTTACTGACTATATTATGCATTTCTTCTACTCTCTTCTCTTGCTTTGTGTGCTACATGGAGTGGAGTGTGGCGACTTGAACTGCCGCACATATGTGCAAAGTTCTATGTCGAAAACAGACCGACCGATGTTGATTATTCAACAGGAGTCTCTGATTTTCACTACACATGTTAACATCATTCTCATTTGATTTATCTGCGTCGTTAATACCAACGTTTTTGAAATAATCTGACTGTGTTTCTTTTAAATAATTGTTAAAAGGGTATATACTAGGTTATAAAAGTACATGCAGTATATACATAAGGGAATTGATTTTATCCTCACACTGCTAACTATTTCTTTACATTCATCCATAGTCTTTTTATTGTCTAAATCAGACAATACGAAAATTCATTTACTAACACGCATATATATATATATATATATATGTGCTCTTATCTGTTATACCTTTTATCCCTACAGAAACATAAAATTCGAGAGAAATTTGTCAGTGAAATGCGTTCACAGTTTCATAATTCTCCTTTACAATTCGCCATAGGTAAGTTTAATATCCATTTATATATATGTATATATGTTTGAATCCCGGTGGGTACGTACTGATGAGGAGGAGGCCTAAACTTGAACAAAACAACTGTTCAGTATACTCCAGTCCCTGGTTATTAAAATTGTTTAAGCTGGACAAAACTAAGGAATATAGAGTTCGAATAATTATTTGTTTATTAGATATATCACACACAGTGAAACAATTGTATTTACACAATTTATTGTTGTTGATAATCATATCATAATTATAATCACACAACTTCGAAACTTTCGTTTCATAGTTTTCTTCGTTCTCTCCTATTTGTCGTCGTTTCAATAGCCATGTTTTCCCACCTATCCATGAATATATCTGCTACAACTGGGGATATTGGTGATCCCATGGCAACTCCCTCAGTTTGTTTGTATATTTTCCCTTGGAATTTAACAGCCGTTGTTAGTATATATATATTTGAAAGAGATTACTTTATTCACTTATCTAAGGAGAATTGTCTCAACTACATGAGGAACGGACGAGGATGTCAAATCGAGAATCGGGAAGGCGAGAAACACATTCATCAACCTGGAACCGATCTGCGAATCTTCGTCATTCAGCATCAACAACAAAATTCGGATTTTCAATGCAAATGTCAAGTCAGTCAGTTCTTCTATACATAAGGATCAGAAACTTGGCAGGTCACAAAGAATATTTCTACCAGGTGGCAGACCTTTATCGACAGCTGTCTTCGCTCTATACTGAAGATCAGATGGCCGCCGGGACGAATCACTAACAAGAAACTATGGGAACAAACAAAACAAGAACCAATCGCCCAACAAATATGCAGGAGAAAGTGGAGATGGATTGGACACTCGCTGAGGAGGCCGCTGGGTGACATCGCGCATCAGGCCATAGCTCGAGTGGAACCCGAAAGGGAAGCGGCGAGTGGGACGTCCAAGGGTGACATGGAGGAGATCATGTGAAGAGGAGTTGAAACCGTATGGACTAACATGGGTGCAGGTGAAAAGTACAGCAGAAAACAGAAGCAAGTGGAGGCGTACAGTTGAAGCCCTATGTTCCACTAGGAATCCAAGGGAACAGTAATATATATATATATATATATATATATAATTCGCACAGGTTGCACCATAAAAATCCATATTTGTATTGTCTCGATTCACTTTTTCTTTTGTAAATGTCTTCTCTTATTTTTGTTATTATAGGTGGACAAATTAGTATTGATGTCTTCCCGAAAGGTTGGGATAAACGATACTGTTTACGGTTTCTCAAGGACTATACTACAATACACTTTTTTGGTGACAAAACAGACGAAGTGAGTCAGTTAACTGTTGCAGCATGCTGGAAATGGCAATAAGCCGGCATGCTTTTGTGTCAGGGCGGTGTCTAAACCTGTGACCCAGTGGTTTGTAATCGGATGTTTAGGCTATTCATCCACATCTAGCTCCCCGTATACTGTATGAACATGTGTGTGTGTGGGTGTAGATTCATGTTAAGTTGAGAAAAGCCCTATATGACTAAGGAATCCTGCTTGTTTGTTTGAAATCACTGTTCCATTGACGGATATTAAGCATATCAGTTTTCTAAAGTGGGGAACTTATTATTATTATTCGTTTTGTTCCCATTGGAACATACGACTTCGGCAGCACATCTCCATTGCACCATATTCTCTGCACATCTTTTAAGCTGGCTGTACTGTTGCCCATTGGCTGTCATTTCCTTGTCACATGATCTCCATGTCACACAAGAAGCGATACCCAATTCGTCGTTTTCCATTCGGGTTCCATTCGAGCTTATGCCTGGTACTCAGTGTCACTCAATGATCACTCTTCAGTGGGTATCCAATCCATCTCCCTTTCCTTCAGCTTATTTGTTAGGCAAAAGGTTCTCGATTGGTTTGTTCCTAGAGTTTCTTGTTGCTAATCCTTTCTGGCCTGTCATGTGATCTTCAGTATAGAGTCAGAGAAAGCAGTTGTTGATGAAAGTCTGTTGGTCAGCTTGGATTTTTTTCAGTCTAAATGCTTGTGAATCTAAACCCCTTGTGGCATTATCCCCACTTTTGTTCAAAAGTTCTAGTAAATCTTTCAATGTTAATCAAGACGTTTACATGCATACTGAGATTCCGAGCTAGTGAATATCTAATTCATAGTCAGTTGCTTTGAGACACAGTAAGTACATTAGCTGTCAACATCCTTTTGGTTATACTGTCACTAGGGAACATGGTTACAAGAACCCCTGATTTCTAATTTCTTATGAAAATGATTTTGATTTATTAAAGTCTGTGTGGAGCTGTGATTTATCGGTCTGCGTGCTAGACTTTCAACCAGTAATTCACGGGTTCGAACCATGTTCCACCTACTGAGGTTCGGGAAGCCCCAGGTTGAATATCACCAGCTCTCACACTCAATAGGTATGGCTCATCTCTAACTACATGGAATTGTAAGTAGCTGTTGAGTGGTATTCCTTAAAAAACTGAAAAGGTGAATGAGAACATCTGACAAACTATGAATGCACTGGTAGATGTGCAGGTCGTCTACCTACCTAGAGTAGCTGGAAAACCCTGATTCCAAACCTAGAGCATATATATTCACTCCAGAATAGTGTATAAACCTTATTTGGACACCCGAAACCATGGGAACGCAGATTTCAAATAAAACAGCAGGGATGTGGCTCCTCAAGGAAACCACCTTCTTCGGTCTGGGCCTCTGGACAGTATGTTAGCCTCCGCACAAACGATGAGATATTTTATGTAGCACTTTTTTGGTGCGCATAATGTTATCCAGTATTGTATTTGTAACGGCCGAAGACAAGGGCCATGCAACAGATCGTTTATTGAGGAAATCAAGAGATATTTATATATATTTTTATGTACATTATTATTCGTTATTGTTAGCAGAGAGGTAACGTCTTCTGATTGGTTGTTTTCTCGCTGAAGGTTATTCTGTCATCTCTTTGTGGCCGTTTCTTAGATAGTCAGGCCATATACTATCTGTGAATCATATTTCCACACTTTAACTCTGCTGTGATTGGCTGGTGATTTTCTCAAGGTTAAGCTTTGCTATTGTTTTTTCGCATGACCCCTATTCGGGACGTAAATTGTTGTTTACAATTTTGTCTTGCAGACAGCTCCCACCACATATTGATGATTATCGCAGAACTGCAGTAGTATCATTCAAGTTATCTTCTGTCTTGATTCACATTGAACAAGGTTTACAAGACAATCATTGACCAAATTGTGTCTAAAATTCCTTACTCTCAATATTTCTCATCATCTTTAGATACTAAGATGATCCACTATCATTTATTTTACCCACTGAGACATTCGAAACGGTGTTATCCTCTGCAAGTTTTTTTATTCCTTCACGTTCCCAGTGGAACATAGGGCTTCAAGCTATAGGCTTGAAGTTTCTGTAGCAGTGTTTATTTTTACAGGATGGGGTTACTAGCCGCCTCATGCCCAACCTTTCCTCTTCACCAGCTTTACTTCTGGCTTAGTGAGGTAAAGGAGTGTGTCTGTGGCCGGGGATCGAACCCCGGACCATGTGCATGGTCGGCGAGCGTCCTAACCGCTATGCCACCAACGCAAGTTTAATGATAACATTTTCTTAACTCTAAAAGTTTCAAGTGTGTTACGTCTTAACACTGTCAATGTTTTTTTTTTAAATTTGAGGGAGGCAATGATTTTGAAATCTACAATGATCCACGAACTACCGGTCATTCAGTCACGTCACCAGAGGATACAGCAGCCCAGTTGAAAGCATTATTTCCACAGTGTTTTTAAATCCCTTTTTATGTACAAATAGATAATGTACTTTAGGTCAGTATTAATAATAATAATAAAACTAATAATGTGTTGTTTTATGACCTTTATCACACTATATATATACATATACTGCTTTCTTTAGTGTTTGCTTACTTTTGTATTGTACATGAACAATAATAATAATAAAGATATTGATATATATGTGTATGTATGTGTATGTGTTTTTCCACATAAACAGCTGTAATTTCTACTCTTTATTTCTCTGTTTTGTGTTGTTCGATGAATGAAGTCCATCACAATCTTGCTTATATATTGTTTGATGTGAATATATATCATGGAGTAATATAATAAACATATACACAATTTATCTTTTGTCCTAACTGCCGAGAGTAACTATAATCTTACAGATGTGTGTGTGTGTGTGTGTGGCGTCTGTGTGTTTTTATAACAAAGGTGAAATAAAAACCCTAAAGTCATAAAAAATGGGGGTAGTTCTATGGTAGAACGCTCGCCAACCATATACATGGTCCGGGGCTCGATCCTTGGCCGACTCACTCAAAATCTCGCTTAGTCGGTAAAGAGGGGAAGTCGGCTGTGAGGACCACTGTTACAGAAACTTCAAAGCTCTGCCTTGAAGCCCTATTTTCCACTAGGAACGTAAAGGAATAATTTTCAAGAATTATCGTGTAGGGATTCTATTTATTTCAGGTTGGAACACGGATTGATATCAGTTAGAGGACCATTGAAATCATGGACAGCTATTTCCTCCCAGTTCGGGATTCATCGGCAGGACCTCCCGGTTACAAGGCAAGCTGGCTGGCGTATACCATTCAGTCAGTGGGACCCGATTAAATAGTCAACCCATGAATTCCAACTTCTGTCGATTCGTGATGCATTTAGCGCGACTGGCACCAACCAATGTCATTGGTGGGAACTCCATTCTCACTCCCTACTGGTCACGACTTCTCACTAGAATTCCAGGCAACTTTGTTCTGTAGCCATATAAGGAATAAGAAAATGTCACAGAAGGCCTCGACGTCCTGGTGGTTGACCCAGTTACACGCGGTATCCATATTCTCAGTTCCACTTCAGATGTTGGGGATTTCAGCCAATTGACTGAATAGTATACACGTGTGTACTTTATCTCATTCGTTGTTAACTTAGAATAATTATGGAACGTAATTTAAACAAATTCGTATTTTTGGTTATTTCTCATCAGGTCTTACAATTACATAATACGATATTAATCATAGACATTTGATATCGATGTGGTTATTAAAGTCGGATCGGTTCGTTTATTCCTCTTGCATATAAATGAAATCTCATCAGTACCTCTGATGTTTCACGACAGAAAAATGTGTACAGTCGATGCTCTGGATGATGAAATAGGGAAAATAGAAAACTGGCATTACATGAGAATAGATATCTGGAAAAATTGATTGAAGTCTCCATTATGGGAACACAGAGATAGAGAGAGAAATGCTTGCAAACCGTGCAGAAAGAAAATGTGTGTATATTATATTGTAACAACAGAAGACAACGGCCAAGAAACAGATCGTTTATTTAGGAAATCAACACATATTTATAGATTTTCATGTACATTATTATAGATTATTGTAAGCAAACAAAAACAGTCTTCTGATTGGTGGTTTCTCGCTGAATGTTGATCTTTCATTTCTTTGTGGCTGTTTCTTGAATGTCACATCATCTATCTGGTAATTGTATCCGCCTACGCATAGTCTGCTGTGATTGGTTGTTGAGTCAGTGTCTTTGTTCTTATTTTTCTCACGACCAATATTGGGGACGTAAACATTGACGTAAATTACTGTCTACCAATTTGGCTAGCAGCCAGCTCTCACCACAATATGACTTTATCATTCAAAGGCGATACAGCCAGTGAATTATTGGTATTGAAAGTTAGAAAAATAATAGCTGAAACATTCTTTGTCACAACTCTGCGTTTAAAATTCACCGGTAGTATAATTCGAAGATGGGCGAAGGATAAGCTGCCGATTCTGACCACTTCAGTGTGTATTTGTATATCTAACTCCTTTTGTGGAGACAGTTTCACAGGTAGAACTGTGGCATGTGCTACTGATAAAGTTTATCAGTAGTATATAAAGGGACGTTTATCGTCATGAAAATATGAAATAGCAGGGAGACTAGATTTGATCTCAGAGAAAGCTAAGGATACAGCGTTGTGGAGATACACTGGAGACGTGAAAGGAAAACAAAGACAGTATGAAGGAAGGCCAGAATTAGCAAAACGCTCCGATCACGCTGTGGCTCGCGCACGTTTAAATGGACATAAAAATTGTTGGCAGCGAGGCAGTTACGTTCCCAACTAGATCGAGACTCTGAGTCCCTATTTAAGGAAGGAATAACGAAATGAGTATCTGAGTTTGATAGCAGGACTCCTCCGGAAGAAGCCTGGCACAACATACAGTTAGCTATAAAGGCTGATAGTTACCTGAAACCTAAAGTTAGCAGAAGCCAGTGGATTTCCACTACCTCATCCGAACTGATTAAGACAAGAAGACTGATTCTGGTGAGCTCCGAATATGATGAGGAGCGAAAGCTAATCAAACGCAAACTAACAAGAAGTCTTCGCAACAACCGCGAACAGTGGTGGGCGAAAAAAGCAAAAGAGACGGAGAAAGCATTGGCGATGGGTAACACCAGACAGCTATTTAGACTTATCAGAGAAACAGGTGGTAAAAGGCAAATGATAAGTGAAACAATCTCTGAGAAAAATGGCACCATAATTAGCTCCCAGGATAGACGGCTAGAACGTTGAAAAGAACACTATGTGGAGCAGTTCAATTGGCCTGCAGTCACGCGCAACTTACCGGACATATAACACCTCCCTGAATGGGATATAAATACAGGTCATCCGCCCCTAACTGAGGTTAGAAATGTTGTCACTAATCTGAGATGAGGCAAAACAGCAGGACCTAATGGAATGACTGCAGAAGTGTTTAAGGACAGTGGAGACAGTTTACTGTCTGCGTCAACTAAGGTACTAGGCAGCGTCTGGAAATCAGAGAAAGTCCCGTCGGTTTGGCATAATTCATCCATTATCCTGATATACAAGAAGATAGACAAGTCTTCTTGTGATAATCACAGAGTGATTAGCTTGACTAATATGGTATCTAAAGTTCTAGGCTCAATAATCATACGTAGACTAAGTGGTGCTCGGGAAAAACAAACACGAGAGAACCAAACAGGCCTTACACCTTGTGGAGCGTTTATTGATCATATTTTCACCCTTCGACAGATTCTGGAACACAGGCATTCTTACCGGCGTCCAACAATCGTTATATTTCTTGACCTGAAAGCGGCACTCGACTCCGTCGACCGAGACGTCCTATGGCAATATTTGCCGGTGTGAGGAAATGCCGAGAAAATACATTGCACTGATTAAGGCACTCACTCTACTCGAATTCATGTGGCCAGTTGAGAGCTTATGGAGAGTTGTCATCTGACAACCAGTAGTGTCCGTCAGGGATTCCCATTTCTGTTTAGTTTTATCGTAGATATACTAATGGACTTAACCCCAAGTGACTTCAGAGATTCAGGGGTTGACTTGTTACCAGGGAATAATCTCGTTGATTTAGAATATGTAGATGATATATTCCTTCTAGGCGAGAACGGTGACAAAATGCTGACTCTCTTGAACACCTTGAGGAGCAGCAATCTTCGAATGTTTGGTATGCGATTCACTCCTGCTGCCACATGTAAGATAGTGACACAGGATTGGACTGGACTACATTGACTCACTCCTGGCTTAAAGATAGGCAGGAGTGAAGTGGTGGCCGAGTGTGTTGACCACTTCACATATTTGGGAAGTTGTATCAGCTCCAATGGGTGGATCACTGATGAAATCACAGCACAAATAAATAAGGCCCGTTTGGCATATGACAACTTGCTCCACTTCTGGCTTAGTAGACGTGATATCCGGCTGGCCACTGACCAAAGAGCGTATGTACTGCTCAGCAGTTCATTATGTCCTCCTCATTTATGGCTGTGAGCGAGAAATGGCCACTGAGTGTGGAAAAGCTAACTGTCTTTGATCACAGGTGCCTGCGTTCTATATCCCGTGTTAGGTTGTATAATAGTTTGAGCATACTACTGACGTTAAGCGTTGAGTATTAGATAAAGAGGGAAAGGCAGTTGATGAGGTTGTGAAACGGAATCGACTGAGGACATGTGTTAAACTTGCCTAACCATCGCCTCCTTCGGCGGGCAATGTTAGCTTACTGACAATTGATGATATAGCTCAAAATCGTCGTTGTCAAAGGCTGGCGCAGATGCACTCACTCTTTGTGATTTATCATATGCAATAAAACTCTATTGTTCTTTCATATTACCATTCTTTTTCCCTCACACTTGTGTTTATTATCTCTCTTTACTTTATTCTCTTGCTTTATGTGGGAGTGTGGCAAGTTGAACTGCTTCACATCTATGAAAAATTCTATGTTTAAACCAGTCAGTCAGTCAGTGAAAAAGCTTGACCCACATAAGTGACTTCTAAACTACATACCTCATTGAGGCAAAAGAACTGGTCGGTGTTTGCAAATCTCTCTGAAATTTATCAGATTTCACTGAACGTGAACGCCTTAAACAAATCTGATTGTCTTATCGATAACAATTTGTTTTCCTAATTTCACATGTCAGTTTTTCATTTAACTTTATCAACTTTCACATCTGTTGTTGAGTGTTTATACAATTCTTGGTGCACATATTTGTTTCTCATATAATATAATAATATATTACTATTGTGTCACAACATTTTGTGAGAGGTCTTGGTCTTAGAATAACCAAAACTCAGTTTATTCAAGCCCCTAGCTGTGTATGTAAAGCCAGATGTGAGAAATTCAAGCTGACTTACGAAACATTATGGCCTTTTGGTTCCTGAACCACATCAAGTAAAATATCCTTGAGAGTTCAGTGTAATTATAATTCATTTCCATCTGTGAAGTTATGGATAATTGACTTTCGAATTTTTAGGATTAATCACTAACTCTGAGTCCTCGACTTTCAGTGAGTTTGTGTCTTTTCTAACTGAAGTCAGTAAATGTTGTTGTCAGTCTTGAAATCAGTTAGATCCCTGCAAACGAATACATGAAAGTTTAGTCTATCTATCGTCCACTTGTAACTGACTATTTAGGAGTGAAGTTGCCTGACGACTGGATTCCATCTGTTGGTCGGGTGTGAGTACAAATCGCTCACTAATTACTTCGGTTGGCGGTTGCGTTTTGCGCATCGTGAATTCTCAGAAGTGAAAAGTGATGGTTCTCACTGGATTCCATCCGAGTAGCTGAATGGTCAGTCACATTGTTATGTAAAGATTGTAGGTTTGATGCTTTGCGGTAGGGTCATAGGTGAGTGGGTGGTTGAGTGCAGTGTGGAAGAGTCCGAAACAAGGACGAAACCACTGTCCAGTACTCAATGGTTTCCTAACTGAGGTCATCTAGTGATCAAACCTGGAATCAATGAAATCCTTGCAATGTAACACACTTAGAGATTTCGG